GTCTGTTCCACTTTAAAACTGGGTAATGGTGGAATTGCAAACCCTTGCATTCCTATACATGTGGAAAACAAGCAATTTCCAGGGTTGATATACGGAGGCAAGCTTTCCTGTTGCTTGATCTCTATAGATGTATTCATGGAATTATGATTATGCAGTTGCCAAGCAAAATGCTCAAAATCAAGCTGAGAGTTATCTGCCCCACCCATCCAGCAAAACAACCACCTAATCAAAACTTTGAAAGATTACTATTTTGTTACAATCAAAACAATAAAAGGGAAAATAAACTAAGCAAACATGTATCAAGAATTACCTCAAAATGTTGTGCTCTTGTCTGTGATGAGAGTTATCTGCTGAATGATTTCAGAAAAAAGAAGAGAAAATAAAGTTCGCAAAGTCCAACTTAAGAGAAATAAATGCTATTCAATCTACGTGATAGGCTTCAGCAATTGTCGGAAATACTCGGCCTGAAACAGAAAAATACCAAAAGTTTCATCAAGGTATTCAATGAACCAACTTCAGGGAAAGAAAAAATACAGAGGGATTTGAATATAATAAATGTAGAATTAACTCAATTGTTAAACAACAAGCAAAACCAGGAGGCAAAAACTGAGTTGACGAACCTGACAATTCTGCAAAGGTTGAAAGCATGCGATCACTCTAACTACAATTGTTGGTTTTCCTGCAATCCCATTCTCATGTTTCAAAGCCCGAAATCTCGTCTGGCTTGCTGCTTGGCACACCATAACTACTTCTGAACCTTAAACCGACAACTATTCTTCTATACCAGAAACCACAAAAGAGATGCAAACGACAAAGGGGAAGGTAAAAGGAGAATATTCACTGCAGAAAGAACTACAACGGGAGCAGAAAGGTGATAAATATAAATGAGAAATCTAATGAGCTCAATTCCTTGACAAAGAAGTGAAAAAATAAATCAGAAGACCGAAAGAAAAATGGTGTACAGAGACGGTAAGATTTTCAGCTAATGTAGATATCACCGGAAATGATAAAGAAGTGATTGGAACCCATGATTGATAGGAAGAAGCTCAGAGAGGAATAATTCGGTTTTCTTCTGGACAAAAAGCGATTTACAAAATAACCCTGCAATAGAGGTTCAAACAGACAACTTTGCGGTATACATCAATAGATATGCTCAACCAAAGCATATTATTTTCCCGATATGGTAAAGGTAACACATTCACAACTGCAACAGTGATGATTCACAACTTAACCAATGATACCCCTGCAAAAGAACGAGAAAATAACAATAAATACACAAGTATCTAAATTATATAAATATAAAGAAACGTAAATCCTCAGACGGATGATAAATGGGTAAGGATTAAAAAGAACGAAAAAATAAATCTAAACAAGATAAAGTAACCGATGAGATGTATAGAATATAAAAAGCAAAAAACTACGACAATCTGCATTCATTCAATGTTTGGTGTAAGGCAGTACACTAAAGAAAAGCATTTCATATGACGAAAGAAGCAGGATAGCCAACTATTTGGGTGGAAATTTGAAGCTTTTTCTAAGCTGCCAAACAGATATAAATCCACTTTTACAGAACATATTTCTATAAAGCCAAAAAGTATTTTAAGAAAATGAAACGCGAGTGACATTAAAGGAAAAGGAATGAAAGAGAATTCGATGCAGCACAACAATATGTCAACTTTTAAAGAGAAATTTCAGAGAATCTTCTCAGAAAATGAAGGAAATATAACTCATTTTAAAACAGAAATTTTTACGTTCCCTTCAGCTAAGTTCCCAAGACAATCAAATCAAAATTTCCCTCTAACGAGCAACAGAACCGACAAAATCATTCTGCGTTTTCTATTTTCCAAGGCTCTGAACAACTAATTTCTTCGTCCATTCATTTTCTTCAGATTCTCAGAAACCCTTGCCAGGCATCCAGACAGAGGCAGAGGCAAAATTACAGGAGAGAAGCAATCAGAAAATAAGAAATGCAATTTCTGGAAAATAAGAAAGAATCTTACAGCAAAATTGGAAGAGAATTTCCAAATGGAGGCAGAATTGCGAAGATGGGTCAGATCTAAACGATTCGAAGAACAGAGCAAAGTTTAAAGCGTCCAAACCACCATCAAAGACAAAAGACTTTATAGACATTAAATGTCATTTTTAACCTTCTACAATCTTTTCCATGACATTTTTACCCTCCTACAATTTTAATTTTTTAATTCACCAATAATTTGAGAAATTGATGATCGAACATTATTGGAAATTATACTCAAATTGATTTATGTTTAATAAATTATTATGTTTAATAAGTTATTGTCGTCAACAAACTGGCATTTAGATTTTATTTTTTAATTTGAAAATTACAGGTAGGAAACTCAATTATTAACTTTTGAGATGGTAATGGATATTTTATCTACTAAATAATACTTATTATAGTTATTCGGTACTTAAAGTTGTGTTTAATAAGTGCTATTATCCAACTCGCCTCATCATGGCATTCTAGAAACAAAATTCAAAGACTTTCCACAGTAAAATTTAAATATAAAATTCAAAATCTAACTAATATTTTAAAACCAGTTGATAGACTCTACTACATACTTTTAAAGATAGAGATTGATTAAACACAAAATTGACAGGGTTAATTTGAGCATAACTTAGCTAGTTAATGCATCTATCAATCATAAGTTCGAATCTGCACCGCCAGATATTGTAATAAGAAATACAAAAAATTGAAAGTTAATAGTTCTATTACACACTTTTTAAACTTCATAAATCTATTAGACACAATTTTGAAACTTCAAAGACCACTCGTGTAATTTAACGTAGCCAAAGTGAGCATAGCTCAGCGCTAATTGACATATACTAATGCTGACTAAATTTATAGTTATTTCTAAAAATGAGTGTTTTTTTTTTATCAACCTGAGCATAGTTCAACTTTTTAAGATTCAAAAACCATATCATATATTTATCGGAAGAAGTTTTATTTTTTATTAGTAAATAAAAGTTCCTTTTAAGTTAATTTCTCTTCAACTGATTTAACAGGTGATCCCCTCCATGCTTCTACGGAGGTTTTAAGTTTGCTTAGATAGAAAGTTTGTTGAGATCATGCCTTCATGCTTTTTCTTTCATCTTTTCTTTAGTGTCTATTAAGATTCTTACTTACAAAGAAAAGTCCCAAAATGAGAACAAGAAAAAAAAGGAGGAAAAAAAACGTCATGATGCTTAAAGCTAACATTTACATGTGAATGTTTTCTAGTAATTAGTTGTAAAATAATATTAGGAAAAGTGACAAATTCCCCCTTTGCAAAGAGTGATAAAAATAATTATTAGTATCAAGAGAAGAAAATAATTAGAAAAATAGCGGTATTAAACCTTTTTATACAGATTTAAAATTTGTGTAAATTCACTGTGAACTAATTCTTTTTTTCCTTTATATGTGTGGGTGTCCGGATCAACTTACATGTACCTCAACTAATTTCATAGAACATCCACCTGACCCTACAACATTTGATGTTGGGGAACACATATTATGAACTAATTCTACATATATATAGCATACGTTCTCTATTTCTGGGTCGGAGTTGTTTTGCGTCAGTTTTGAGTTAGATGTGAAAGTCATTGTGTCGGAGTATCTCTCAATTTCTAGAGACCCCACCTTTTAGGTTTCTTATAGACCTCTAGCTCTATAAACGTACGTAAATATAAGATCTTTTATACAACTATTTTTTTTTCTTAAAAATTATTTGAATCAACTCATACCAAATTTGGATCAAGTGAATTGAAAAAGATGTTGCAATTTGAAAGAAAAAAACAAAAACATGTGAAACCTCACTCATTAAGAATCTTCCCTACTCATTTGTAATCTACACTTCTGTTATTAGGATACTAAAAGAGAAAGCTTTGGAGGGTCCTTTTTTAATCAAATTTAATCCCATGTGATTTGTGGGTTTGTGGATAGTTTATAGAGTGTAATTAGCCAAATTTCTTGCACACTAGAAACAATCATAATTTTTATAATATATGGTCCTCGTGGAAAGCTATCATGATTATAATATATGATTAAAGCTGTAAAAATAGCACAACTTTATTGTATATTTGAAAAATGAGTGAATATGTCTAAAGTCACATTTGATAATGCAAGTATTATTGAACTCTTGAATAATAATTGGACGCATGGTGTTGTACCATTTTGCTTAATGTGGGGGAACAACCATATCACCTACTCTACTTCACCAATTTTATTAAAAAAAGAATCTTTATTAAAGATTTTTAAATAGTGATTTTGGTATAATCATTTTTACCATTTTCTAAAATTGAACGCTATTCAACATTAATGTTTAAAAATAAAAGTGATTTTGATATAAAAGTGGGAAAAAAGAAAGGATAGATATATAAGATGAAAAGTATGTAAATATTTATGTGTATGTTAATATTTGGAATTTATAACAGATGTTAACAAAGTTTTTTAATATGAATAGAAAATTGGTGTGTTAAGAAAAAAAATTAAGCTAATTTGGGTGAGTGGAGAAACAATAGCCTAAGAATTTTCTGTTTGCTTTGAAAGGAAAAAAAAAAATCTGTTTGAAGCTTTGGTTTAAGGAATTATGATAAAATAAATCAAAAGAAAAACCCAAAATATGATAGAATTACTTTTTTTTTTAGTACAACATATTGGAGAGAGGAGATTCAAACTCACAATCTTATAGTTTGAGGTATATGCTGAGCTATGCTCGTTTTGATAATATGATAGAATTACTTTAATTAAGATGAAGAGAGGATCAATGATAAAAGATATCAAAGAGCTAGCTAGCATTAATTTTTCTTATGGTCTAAAGTGTATAGTAAGGCCATAAGACAATTTAGATTTTGTAACGTTTTTGTTTCTTTCTTTTTTTCTATAAAGAAAAATAGAATTATATGGTTTCAAGATTCAATAATTGTAAAATAATATTTTTATTTTTATTTTGGAACAAACCGGAAAGAAAAACAACCAAACAAAAATTGGTTTTTTTTTAATTTCTATACAATTTTGAAAATGTTTCTAAAAAAAATGAGAAACAAAGAAAGTCAAATGTTAAGTTCTTTTTATAAAATTGAAAACAAGAAATGAAACGTTACCAAAGTCAACAAAGTTTAATCTTGTATTAATCTTATCGTTATTTTTTTAGTACAACAACATGTGGAGTGAAAATATACGTCTTAACTAATTGAACTAGTCTTTGGCTTCATGTCTTGTATTTATTAATTTTTGTTTCAACTAGATTTAAATATTATTTAGATTCATGTACTTTTGATTTTGATTTACTTTGGTCCTCGCATTTTCAATATGTCCATTTCGGTCCCTCTACTTTTAAATTTTGTTCATGCTAGTCTTCATACTTTTGAAACGTACATTTTAATCTCTCTAATTTTAAAAAGTGGCCAATATTGATCCCTATTTGCAAATATTAACACAATAGAAATCTTTAATAATACACATTTATAGTTATATTTCAAGAAATATAGTGCGTAAAGTGTCATGCTAAAATTATGTTCGAGAAATGAAATAAAAATTAAAATTAAAGGACCAAACTGGTCACTTTTTAAAAGTAATTGAAATAAACGTTTCAAAAATGCAATAACTAGGACGAGCAAAAGTACCTTGAAAATATAGGAACTAAAATAAATATTTTAAAAAAACTAAAATCAAAATAAACAAAAGTGGGAAGTACGTAAAACTAAAACAATTTTTAAATTCATCTAACACCATCTTCTAGAAATCACGTTTCCTTAGGACCTAATTAACAAGTCATATTTTTCAAAAAAAAAAAAGAAGATTAATCTAATTATTGCTAGTGATAATAATAATGTGTTTTAAGTGAAAAAAATAGATTTTGATAGTTAAAAATCTTTTAACCACTAATTGCATTTCAAACAGTTGAGACAATATTGAGAAAGTGCTCTCATCAAACAAGTCTCAATCAAAGCTAAATTTCAACCCCACAAGTTTTCTAGGGCCAATTGGTTAATTTAAAGTGAAAATTAGACCCCATATGTTTTGGCTTTTGCCATATGCAATTATTGGATCATAAGATATTTTCAATTCATTTGTATAGTAAATTCTTTTAATCCTAATAACCTTTTCAGTTTAAAAATTAAAGTATAAAAGATTAAATCAATATCTTATTTAATGAACTAGACTCATATTGATAAATAAAATCTTAATTAATTGGACTAAATTTTGACCTTTCCACATAACAATTGAGTTGATTCAATTTATTTAGATATGATTTATCTTCCAGAGTTAGAGTTGCATTAGAATTAGATCATTATCATAAACTCTATCGATCTAACACTTATCCGACAAGTTGATTGCATTATTTAAGGATGAAGCCAAGCTGACTAATTTTGAATAGATTTAAAATTTTGACAATTGTGACCTATTAGACATAAAATTAAAAGTTGAAGAATTTATTAAAGTAAGAACTTATAAAAATTATTTTTAAATACATTGGCCAAATAGATACAATCAAGTTAAAACTAAAATTAAAATTTTCATCATGTTGTTTTATTTTTCCTCTAAATTTTTATCAACTCAATGAGTTTCGGATCATATAGTAAGTTTATTATTGGCTACATTTGACATCCGTTAAAAGAAGTATTTACTATTGGTTTTCTATTTTTAAGAATTAAGTTTACATGTTTTGTTATATAATTTTTATAAATATTTTCAAAACATAGGCTAAATTTTGACGAGTAAAGAGTAAACAAAAAATGAAAAAGAAAATCAAGGACCAAACTGATATTTAAACCTAAAAATTTCCCTTCTCTGTGGCAAGGCAAGCTCGGCACGTGCGAGAGAGGCCTGTTAATGGCGGCAATACGATCTTACTATCCCCTTCCCGCGTTGGGTTCTCAAAATCTCCGCTTTTCCTCGGCTCATTCTGTATCTTCCTTCTCCGCTTCAAATTTTGCATAAACGCCGCCACTGTTTGAAGCTTTTGTTGGGTAATTTTTCAGATTGCTGTTGTTTTTCTCTTTCTCCCCTCTCAAAATCCACGGGGCCTCAATTTTTTTTTGACAACAATTGAAATTTATTTAGCTTGTCGACGGCACTCTACTTCCTCTTTCCTTTTGCATAATCGCTCATACATCCATCCATTGTTCTTCGAGAAAATTGCAGTTTGGTTCGTTCGCTGTAGCTTGTACAAGTAGATGATTCAACAACTAGGAAGTGGTTATTGTTCCTCAAACTGATACCATTATAATTTAAGGTATTTGCATGAATATTTGTCCTGGTCTGGAAATAAAAAATCAGATAAAGTCTTAAAGTGGATGCTATTTTGTGGCATGGTTTGTAATTCCCCTAGGAGGGAAAACTTGGAATTTTATTCTATAGAATTTGCAACTGTATAGGAAGTGGAATCAGAATTCCAGAGTTTAAGTTTTTGGTGACTGGACTGGAGTGGGATCAGAATTTCAGAGTTTTACTTCCTATTCCTGTGAATTTGGTCCAGTATAACAATCCAAAATTTGTGAACACAAGTTTTGATCTTGCTGTCTATAATTATCCATATAAAGAATGAAGCGGGTATTTTATGTTTGAATAGTCTGATTTTCTTTTTAACAGAAATGGCTGGTCAATCAGATCCTCACCTGGCCCTATTTTCTGCAGAAGAGGTATTCCCCTCTTGCTCTGCCTGAATGATTAAAGCAATGTTATCTGGCATTGATGCTAAATTGTATTGGGATTCATGTCCAGGTTGAATTTGTAGCTGAAGATGAACTGGTGGAGATTGTTCCTAACATGAGAATGGATCCTCTCCATTTGATTTGTGTATGTTTTCTTCACCTATTCTGTTCATGTTTAGTGCATACTATTTGATTTATTGCAACTTTAATTTTTCATTGTTGTGTGTGGTTGGTCTTTTCTATTCTGAGCGTTTTTAGTTTCCTTGTTGTTTCCAATAGGGGGATTATGGTCCGTTCTATCCCCAAATAGCAGCTGAAGTTCCATTGTGGCTAGCGATTGCTCTGAAGAAAAGAGGGAAATGTGCAATTAGGTCTCCAGAGTGGATGTCTGTGGGTAAGTTCTAATTGTTAAATAGAGTGAATTTTATTTTGTATGTAGACATAATATTTGCAGGCTTTTCTTTTTTCTTCTTCATTAATGTTGGTGGTACTCCTGGATTAAATTTCTTAATCTAACGTAATTACTAGTCTGCATGGTTTTCATGTTTGTAACATATATGCCCATGCTTTTCACTAACATGAATGGGATACAAAAATGCTTGCTTCAAGTAATGGCAATCTACTTATCATCCTTGCAATTCATAATATTGATTTATTGAATGAATTTCGAAATGTCTTAGGGGTTGGGTTGTAACTTTGATCTTTAGTTCTTCGGACCTACTTGGGGGATTCATGGTAAAAGGAAACTCTGCCTCCAAGAGTATAACCTAATCAGTTCACAGTGTAATGGTGCAGCTGACTTTAGCTTGTAACCTTTTCTTTAAAGCTTATAGTCTCAGAAATATTTGAAGGATAATGAGCTATGGATGACAAAGTCTGGAATAGGGGTCTCATCTAGTTTCATTACCTTTGTTGTCGGATTCTCTATCAATCACAAGAAAACTATATGATTATTCTCAAATTACAAAAGAGCCATAGATTATGGTGACTCAGAAGGGAAAGAAGTATGTAGTTTGGCCAGACGTGAAAGAGCCAAATGGTTATGGTGACTTGGAGGGGAAAAATATTGGTGTTAGCACGCTACTACTTTCTTGAATGCATATTTAATAGCAGTAAAATTTAAAGATATCGCCACTGGTTTCATTGAGGACTTAATTAGTTACTTAAGTAGGATGGACTGTCCAATAGTAGTAGTATCTTAAAATAACCTTGATATGTACTCTTATTTATAACATTTTTCACAGTTTATTGCTAGTAATCCAAATATTTTCGATCCTTCCTTCCAATGAGTGCATTAAGCATCTTTCCCTTTAATCGACATATATATTCTCTCAACGATTATGATGAGACGAAAAAAAATGTGGGTGACAAAGAAGAGAGATGAGTGATTACAGTCAAGGTAGATAGTTTGCAATCTCATCCTTTTGTGCTTTCTGGACTAGAAAAGCTGACACAAATTTTGGAGGCAGAACGAGAGTCTCAAGGAGCTTTCCAGATACTACCCTTCCATTACGTGGAAATATCGAAACTTCTTTTTGACCAGTAAGTACTTTAAGTCTTTGACATTATAAATCTTTGCTTGATCATTAAATGAGTTGATGTTAGTTTTGTGTTGTGGACGATAGTGCACGAGATGACGTTCCGGACATGTATTTGGTGAGTAGAAGCTTTAATTTTGAGTTTAGGCATATAATTAGCTTTTCTTGTGAGGTATTTGATTGAGTTACTTCTCATAGGTGAGATCTCTTATTGAAGATATTAGGGATGTTAGGTTTCACAAAGTTGAAACCAGCTTGGAGTCAATTGATACACGCACATCTGCAGTGAAGGTAGGCTTCTGACCAAGGGTTTTATTTTCTTATTTTTTCTTATGCACCGGCTAAATTTATAAACTTATAGTGATTTATAATGTACTAGTTGTAACAGAAAAGGTAATGAAATGCAACCTTTATTCTTTCCTTCCTCCCCTCTGGGTTTTTCTTTTTGATTATCAGATTATGTGATGATGTGATCAGGGTCTTCTGGTTTTGTAATCCTAGATTAAAGATCTTTCTGCCATGGAGGTGAATATAGTTCGACCATTTGTTGGTAGAGCCCTGCAAGCAATCTACAAGCACGGGAATCCGGAGTTGGTCCCAGATCAAGAAAGGATGACCAATGTGCAGCCTCAAGGACACGATCCCGGACAAAGAGTATGTCTCTTTTGTAATTCTATGCATCAACGATTTGATCCCTTTTTAAGTTCCTCCCAGCTGATAATGCACATTCCTTCCTATATCAATGTCCAAGTATGTTGCAATTCCTAATGTTCTGTCATTGTTCTTTTCTCCAGCGGCCTCTTCGGAGACGGTAGAGCCTGAGTCAATCTTGATAGGTACGTTTTTTGTTTTTATCGGAAGCAGTACTAAATGAAGCCAGCACGGATTCTTCTTCAAAACCAAGCTAAACTCTCTTCTAAATCATCTTTTATTGCTAGAAAGTACAACAGACCTATAATGCTTATTGTAGATTTGTAAGAATTATATGCTAACTGGATGTATATGGATCCATGTAGTGATAATTGTTCTCAGTAGATGAAAGGCTCAAACCTTCCTGTATCATTTTACAGAAATGTTAATACCGTTCAGCTGCTCACATTATTTGATAAGTGTCTCCAATATTACATTCTTGTATTGATATTATAAGACTCCATTATGTCCCCTATTTTTATTTTTTTTTAACAAGAAACTTTTCATTCACATGATGATACTAACACCCAAAGGGAGCGGAAAAAAAAAGAAAAAAAAAACAAACTCCCTAAATTACAAAAGAATAGAAACATTGAAGAACAAAACGGCTAAAATCTTGACAAAATGGTGAGCCGAAAAATAAAAACCCCTTCTTTGAGCTGCAACAGTGACAACAAAATGCTGAATAGGAGGAAGGAACAACTAGAATCCTTTGAAGAGGCAAGGAAAGATCAGACGCTGCATACCAATTTGATATTGCATATCTCCGATAGAGGATTCAGAGGAAGAAGTCAGATCAAAGCTCCCAAACCTGATGAATCTTCAAAAGGGGTATCAAATTAATGAACAAATTTAATTCATAGACGTATTTGATCTGAACTAATCTAAACAAACATATAGTTTGATCTAGTTTGAACTATCTATGATTGGACTGATTAAATTTTCCTAGTCATCTAATAACTTTGTTTGTGAGAGTAGGCTTTACCAGATGACCATGGCTCAAGGAGTTCCTTGTTCCTCATAAACTTTAGCCATGGTCAAAAATATATGTGGCCTTGATGATGTTCATTATCATTTTTGAGTTGCAGATTACCTTAGAAAGGTGAATTTACAAATATTGTGAAAAAAAAAAACAGTTGAAAAGAATGTCTGTTTGGTGATCCACTTTCCAATCCTTGGTTCCTTAGTTGTAGGTAAGCTAACTTCCATAGCAGCTCTCTTGAAGTCCTCTCTCTGTGACCAAATATACCAATCTCACCAACCAACCAACCTCTTAGCTCTCATCCTTATAAACCCAACCCCATTCGTCATCTTCTCCATCTAAATCCACTTTCTCCAAACCCCCTCAACACAGCAGCAAAGTAGATCAGAAATGGCCTCTTCCTCTTCTTACCACTGTTTTCTCATGGCCTTCATGGTAGCTCTGGCATGCTCGAGCCTCGGCGTAGGCCGAGCTGCTCGTCATCTTCTGCAAACACCGACGGTACCCACGGTGCCAATGCCACCCTTGCCGCCGATTCCGACTCTGCCGAACATGCCCCTGCCCACACTGCCCACACTCCCTCCACTCCCTCCACTCCCTAGCTTCCCCTCCATGAACATCCCCAATGGTGCAGTGCTGCCTCCTCTTCCAGCAACATCACTTCCAAACCTGCCCACAATTCCTGCCATTCCAACAACATTTCCTTCAATCCCCTTCCTCTCTCCTCCACCAGCTGCAACTTCTTCCCCTTGAGCCTGTTTCTTCTCAGCTCTGTTTTGTGTTTTGTTACAGTGTGTGTCTGAATTCTCTTTGTAATGTTGGATTATCCAATGTCTGTCGTGTTTTCTTTTGATGTATGATTGTCTGTCTGTTGTATTTCTCTCTTTCATTCTTTGGAGTTGATATATATACATTACATGTTTTACTGCCTTTGATCCCTTCCTAAAGCTCGCTCTCTCCCTCTCTCATGATTTACAAAATTAATTGGAAGAAAAAGATTTATCTAATTAATCAGAGCCATAAATTAATTAGTAGATTTAAGGGAGGAGAAGAAAATGGAATACTTTTCATACAGTCGTTGTATTGTTATAAACTTCATATTTTCATCAATCGGGATGAAATTTGAGTTATAAGAATTAACACACAAAAAATGACAATATCTTTTTGTTCACAATATGGAAACAAAGAGTTCGGAGATACGTTGTATTATACAAAACTTGTATAGAAAGAAAGGGAAAATAAATAGTAAAAAGAAGAACAACGAAGTTAAAATTAGATCAAAAGATTATATTAGAAAATTTTGAACATTTAAGTTTGTAGGATATTAGACCATATTCAATAAATTTTAACTAGTCATGGTACTCAAAAAAAAAAAAGAACCTAGTTATGTACATCAATAAATTTTAACTAAGGACCATATTCTAACAAGAATTATGTTTGTAGTTACAAGAATAACAAATATTTAAAAATTTGAGTTTATTGAATAATTTGATTCAATAAATTGCATCGTTGGAAACTATTTCATTTTTCATTTTCTAATTAAATAAGCTTTGTTTGGTAATTGTGTGTGTGTATATATTTTACGGTTTTCTATCTTTTTAAAAACTTTATAAGTATCGTAGCTAAATACCAAAAATCCATTTTTCTGATAAATAGTTTTGTTTTTTTATTGAGACCAATTTAGTTGCATTTTCATTCCATTCATCCTTGGACTCACGTTCGCATGCTAGAAGTAGATCATGACACTTTACTAGTATTCTCACTAATATAAAAAGATTGCAGTCTCAATTTAATAATGTCTGATTAAGTGTATATTACTTCTTGCCCTAGTTTCCAATTCTTAGGACATGAAACAAAATGGATCTTATTTCATGATTAAAAAAAAAAGATATTGCTAGACTATTTTAAAAAGAAAAAAAATGCCATAAATAGGGTGTCAATTAATCAAAGTCCTAAGTCAGAATTTGGCTTAAGATTTACTAAGTTAAAAAGAAAAAATAAACCTAAATTTTCTAAAATAGAAAATCAAACAAGCACTTGAAAATAGATTTTTAGTAGAACGGGACGGAGAATCCTTATTTAGGCTCTATCAAGGAATTGGGGGATAATTTTGTCCCCATCACTTAAAAGAGTTAGATCAGAATCTCTATTTAACCATTCAAATGAAGACGATGAAGAATTAATTTTAATTTGAAATTTCTTAAAAAATAAATAAAAGGAGAATAATTTGCTGCCAGGATGGAAATGAAATGGATCTCCCTCACCCCAGTAACGCCCCTAGTTTCCGATCATAAAACCCTAATTTTTACTGTTTTGTAATTAGTTTACCTTAACTCAAGCTCTCTCCTTGAAATCATCCCATTTTCCCGCAAAATAAACCAAACACTTTTCTCCTCACCTTAATCTCTAACTTTGGTGATCTAATTTCCAATATCATATATTATATTATATTGTCATTTAGTTGTTGGATAAAAAGAAGTCGTTCAACTAATTCTTCAAGAAATTAAAGAACTGAAAATTTTTCTCAAGATCTCATATCAATGGCAACCAAAAGATACCAACTTCATCCACACCAACAATCCATTAAGCTTCAATCTATATATAAAGGAACCATATAATGTCTTTGATCTCTCCATCTCAAAGAAAAAAGCTTCAAAACTAATCATCCCATCAAAGAAAATTTTTCCAAAAATGGCTTCTTCCAAGTTCTTGATCATTGCATTATTCATGGTCGCTTTGGCACTTTCGAGCGTCGACGCCGCCCGAGCTGCCCGGCATCTTCTGCAAACCGCTCCACCCTCTCTGCCCAACTTCCCGGTGGTGCCAATGGGGCTCCCGCCGATGCCGATACCGACTTTGCCAAACCCTACTACAGGGCCGAGTATTATTCCTTCGCTTCCAAATCTGCCTCAGCCCACATTGCCTAGGGTTACACTCCCTCCGCTCCCAAGCTTCCCGGTGAACATCCCGAGCGGGGCAACGCTGCCTTCTCTACCGTCGATCCCATTTCTCGCGCCTCCGCCAGCAACTTCTTCACCCTAAGCTTGTAACTTGGTTATGGCAGCCTAATTATTGTTGTGTTGTCTAAAGCTGGGACTAGGGTTTTATTATTACCAGTATTGTGTGTGTGTTTTCATTGATGTCTTTTATAAGATTGGAGTTTCATGTTTCACAATTTGAAGAATGTTCTTTGAGAATTTTCATTCGACATTGTGTCATGACTTATTATATTATACGAGCCTTTCGACTTTAGACGACGGTGAAACATTATCAAAACCATATTTTTTTATGTATTTTTTCGTCATTGTATCGACATAACCCTAGTTCACGTATATGATATTGCTTTGAAATTTTTTATCAAGACCAACACTTTATGTCTCATTAATATGCAAATATTAGAGTAAAATTTTCATTCTAGGGCGTCATTCTTGTAAATAAAAGGGAAAAAAAATTTACATTCAATACAGGAAGTAATTGATCATGATCAATATAATAGAAATATTGACAAGAGGTAAGAAATTTTACTTCTTTATCCTCATGGGTTGACTCAATTATCTCATCATATATGAAATATATAAGAAACTTTAAAATTGTTTTTCAATTTTAAAAGAAGTCCAAAAAAAGGGATATATTTGAGAGAGGATGAAGTTCAATATACAAACTTTAATTTAGATGATAGAACGAATTGGAAGATGACTAATCCAGCATCTCCGAGAGAGTGCGATGATTTTTTTTTTTATCTTGTTTGAGTAAAATAAATTGGAGTTATAGGAGTTTGAACCTCTGATCTCGAAGTAAATAGTAGTTACCAATAATTATTGTTGAGTTATACTCACGTCGATCTGGGGAGGGTGAGTATTAAAATCCTTATAAAATTCAAATAACGTTCAAATTTCGACTAGAATACAACTACTTTTAAATGATTTTAGTTTTTTTTTTTTTAGTTTAAGAATGATTTTAAATAAATGCAGCATAAAAGACTAATACATATAATAAACCACGTGAAATTAATGTTAATATTAAAGCAATGATAATTAACTCAAATGTGACAACAATTTCAATTTAGTAAGATTTTATTTTATGACAAGTCAATATTTTATTAATAATGTTAACTACCTGTGATGATTAAATAAAAATTATATAATCTAAAGATAATCTTAGATAACTTAATTAAAAATTTTAAAGTTTAATAAACTAAATATACAGTATTAAATTAACAACTCGATTAAAACGTAATAACTTGAGCACAACTGATTAAAGTATATATCTCTGACTAAAATGTCGTAGTACTAAATCTTTTCACATTAAATCTACATCAATAATCCATATCTTAATATATATATATATATATATAAATAATAGTACACCAATCAAATCAAGTTTTTTCTTCATTTATAAAATTTCACTTTTATATTATTACAGACTATTTTCCTAAACGGTAGCTCACCTGCAAAAATATGTTGAAATCTCTTTGTTTGGTGAGCTGATGATATATATATATGGAAATATTTTTCTCAACAACAAAAAAATGGTGGCCAAACTCACCAATCCCTTTATTTATTAAGCTATATAAATCAAAACCCAACCCTTATTTTCACCATCACAAATCAACAAAACACAAGCTTAGCTTGCATTCAAAAATCCATCACCAAAAAAGAAAAAAATGGCCTCTTCCAACTCCTTGATCATAGCTTTCACGGCTACGTTGCTATTTTCTACCATGCACGTCGGTCGAGCTGCTCGCCATCTCCTACAAACCACTCCATCGCCGTTGCCTCCGAT